ACACATCACCCACAAATATGAATGAATTGCATGTTAATTCCATTTCCATAATTTTGAACTGAATACAGATATTGTGCATTAGACAGAATACAGATCCAACTGCTTCTGAAGGGGGATCTAATCAAGACAATAACAGGATTGAGGAAAGTATCTGGCTGCCAATGTTATCTTAAAAACATGACTGAACATAACTATAAATGGCCCCAGCTCCCCAATTCACTCCAACAAGGTTTTTGCAGTAACAACATTACTCGTTATGAAGAAAACTGTAATGTGTTTATTGCATTCTGATTAGAATGTAAAGTGTTGGCTACTGTTACTCAAAATAAGTCACATGTTAAAAATGTAATGTTCAACCCCATATCCATGGAGGATACATTTCTGGACCTTCCATGGATATGCAAAGCTGTGAAAATAGGGGAAAAAAAACTATTGAAATGAAGAAAAAACTATTGAAATGAAGTATATCACAAAGCCATGCTGGAGGATCTAGAAAATGCCTAGTGTGGTCATATCTTGTAGAACATGGATAAATGATACTGGTCTCTTGAATATGGTAGTTTTACTATATTATAAATATCATGGTCTTGGTTACAAGGAAATACTACATTTCACAGATTTTCCCTCATATTTTCAAGATCTGGGCATTTTACTAGATGAGAGTTTTCTTAAAAAGGGACAATGCTTTACCCGAGGACAAAGAAAACCACAGACACATCATTTGTAGTCAAGGAATGTTGGAGTATATGGATTAGCAGACACCCCTAAATCTCACGAGCAGTGCAAACAGTTGCTTGGATTCTAGCATTCTTTCCTCCACTCATTGCACATAAAAGGTAATATAATATTCAAAACTCTGCACAAAATTGGAAATAATACTTCAAGAAGGCTTATGCAAATGTACCTACTTTACATAATTCCAATCACAGATTTTTGTCTGTGATCCCAATTTTGGAATGTTTTGCTATAGAAAAGCTGACTTTCTGTTATATTTAGAGTACAGCCAGCCAATGAGAAACTGGCAGATGGAATTATTACTCTTTAAAGAGCAATGCAAAACCAACCTGCACACATAATTATTTATATAAAAAGACTTGATGAAAGTATGCATGTTTAGATGGCAAGTAGTACTTTCCCATCTGGTGCAAATCTAGGGTTGCCAACTCTTATAGACTTCTGACTTTGTGTTATCGAACATCCTTGGTTTAGGCCAGAGCAGATTTAGATTTGAAACTTATGGGAGAAATCTAGCAAATTCAAGTTTGTTGAGAAGTGGACCCAGCATCTGGTGGAAACCCAGTGGTAGAGCCCTATACAAAGTTACTGATTAGATGTTTGGATGATATTAATGAGAAAGGGATCTATAGCAGGACCTATTCAGGTGCTAAGCCATATTCTCAATATTGGTTCAGCACTGGATAGCTCCCACTGCCACTGGACAATGTGAGTTACTTCTCTTATATAGCAAAGCCACTGACTGCATCTGGACTTATACTAAAGTTCTAAAATGTTGGTCCTCTAGGTTTTGCATCTTTAACTTCAGAAACCCAAGCCAGTTTGGTTAACTAACAAGAATTCTGGGAGCTGAAATCCAGAACATCTGGAAGACCAAAGGTTGGGAATCACTGAATTAGACTCCTAATTCCCAGAGATAAGGGATTCGCAAAATGCATTCCACAGGCTCTAGAGACCATTTTATAGTCCCCAGGGAACACAGAATTACCAATAAGACAACCACAAAAATTAAGAGATGGGAGCATTTTTGCTATGTTATAGATCAGGGGTCCTCAAACTATGGCCCGGGGGCCAGATACGGCCCTCCCAGGTCATTTTCCTGGCCCTCACTCAGGGTCAACCTAAGTCTGAAATTACTTGAAAGCACACAACAACAACAACAATCCTATCTCATCAGCCAAAAGCAGGCCCACACTTCCCATTCAAATACTAATAAGTTTATATTTGTCAAAATTGTTCTTCATTTTAATTATTGTATTAAGTTTTTGAACTAAAATAAGATATGTGCAGTGTACATAGGAATTCATTCATTTTTTTTCCAAATTATAATCTGGCCCTCCAACAGTTTGAGGGACTGTGACCTGGCCCTCTGTTTAAAAAGTTTGAGGACCCCTGTTATAGATTTTCATAAGCCATTAAGGAGACACAGGGTGATATAGCATTTTGACTATGACTCTAGAGACTAGGGTGTTGATTCCCCACATGTCCATGGAAAATCACTGGGTGACCTTGGGCAAGTTACAATCTCTCAGCCTGAAAGGAAGGCAAAGACAAACCCCTCCTGAACCAATCTGCCCAATAAAGCTCTGTAACAGGTTTAATTAAGCACTGCCATAAGACAGAAATGACTTGAAGGCACAGACCAATAAATCCATTGTATGCTCATGAGAGGCCTTAAAAATCAGAAACTGATATTTTAATAATTCTTTCAGTTGGAAAGATCTTTTTTGGATTTACTATGCCAGGATTAAAAACATGGCAAAATTACCCTTATGTCCTCTGGAAGGTGTTTGGTACAAAACACTATCCCTCCTTGATAAGAAAACCATAGGATAGGGTCACCACAGGCCAGAATTGACTTGAAAGCACACAACACAATAATTGGAGGAAGATTGAGTTAGGAGGACTTAATATATATTTCTGTTCATTTAAATTTATGAGACAGTTAATAGATAAACCCCTACATAAGGGTTGCATGATATAAATTATATTCCTTAAATGTGAGGCAACTCTTGTGATGAACAGTAATATTGCACAAGACACATTTATATTCAGTGGCTATCCGTGTACAATGCATGTTAATTCACTATATTTGCAATTTTCTTTCCACACACTGAATGCAGAAGGTCCACAATGGACAAGTCTATTTTACCACTTCTGTTAGGGAAACATCAACATAATTCCTGCCAATATATGTTTAGAAAAATGGTAATAATATAAGCACAAGCTTCAGTGCACCCCACCCACCTTCAAAAATGGCTAAAGGTAAATAGAACATTAATACACATCCTGTTTTCCTAATTATTATTTGCAAAGCAAAAATTGAATCCAGATTGTTTTCTCTGTCCCCTTCTTTCAGTTGTGTGGTGGGACTGTGTTCTCAATTGTCACGTCCGGCATCCACATGTCCATATCTCCCCATCGATAGGTTGAAAGTTGTGGAAAGAGTTAAAGATAGCAGCAAACTATCAAGCATGCTATCAAGTTCTATTCCCAAACTTCTATCTCCATTGTTTTAAAGCTATCACTTTTTATAGCTAGATAAATGTTTGCTCTCAGCCATCTGTCAGCACTGAATGCTCGGCAATGTTAATCCCAAGTGATGGATGTGCCCCGTGGGCATCCAGAAGGGTACCTCTGGGGTCATTACTCACTGTTCCCTTTTAACAGCAATGCTACGAATTTATAACAATGCCTAGCCTCTCGGGATCAAACCGAAGGGCCTATTGGACACCAGCATCCACTGCTGTTTCAATGGGATGTCATTGTAAATGGCAATTACAAACTAATAATTCAAAGGGATCACAAGGTGAGAGGTTATGGCCTGCTCTGCCCTTTTCTTTATTGCTCAAAAGACAAGGTTGGTGCACTGTCACATTTCTATCAGAGTGCAGAGAACAGGGAAAAACAAACAAACCAAAAAATGGATAAATGGTAAGCAAATCCAGATTTCTGTAAATCTCAGCTTTTCCAAGTATATTATGACCCCCACATTTGCAAGGGATATATACCCACACTTGGTGTGGATACATGAATGTGTGGATGATTTTGAATGCCAATATTTCCAATGGGACAAATGACAAAAGAACCAAGAAGGGGATGTACAGTAGCTTTTAGAGGAGTCCCTAAGTCAATAATGAAATTGTAGATAAATTGTAGATAAGTATATTGATTTCATGGATATTGGGGTCTTACTGCATGAAATGTTTTCAGCAATGGGTAGGGCATATGCTATGGAGGAAAATATGGTCCATGTAGCCCTCAACTATGTACCATTTTTTCAATCATACGTGGCCATGAGCCTATGATGACCATTTTTGCCCAGCAAGCCTCAAACTGAAGAGATTCTTGTCAGTCCAGGATTCTTCTTGTCATGGTTTCTCAACATGAAAGGCCAAAATATTTTAACAATTTTGCATATATTTTCAAAAATTAGTTCAGTTGCTACTGTCTCTCAATCTGTCTGCCTTTTTGCATTATTGCTTCTGCTCATGACCTCAGAAGATTTCAGGGCAGATTTTTGGCACCTGGAACCAACACAGTTACCTAACTCTATTGTAGGGCCTGAACTTTCAAAGATGACAGAAATCCTACTGTTAGTTCCAACTAAAGTAGAGTCATTGAATTGGTAGGATTTACCTACAGGTTGATTCACTACTCAGTGATAGATTCAACAAGATTACAATCAATTTCTTCAAAAGTGCGACATTAGGGTCTACCCAAATGTCAAATGACATAGCTGAATAGACTTTCCGGGGTTTGGATCTGGGGGCCCTTCCACACAGCTGAATAAAATCCTACATTATGTGCTTTGGACTGGGATATATGTAAGTGTGGACACAACCCAGTTCAAAGCAGATAGTGTTGGTTATTCTGCCTTGATATTCTGGGTTATATAGCTATGTGGAAGGGCCCTGGGTCTCTCCAAAGGTCTTTGGACTAGAGAAATGTAGCCAGATGTGTACTGATTGAAACTGTGTTGAGATCCTTGGAGCACTCCCACAAATCTCATGACTGATGTCATTTGTGTGAATCTGGCTCTGGGAAGAGGATAGCCAGATATTTCTTGGCATAAAAGATGGAATAACCCCAGCAAGTTGAGGAAGGGAACTCTAGGTGGTGTACATAGAAAAAGGGAATACCTTCATAGCACCCAAAAAGTGACACCCACACATGTAAGGAATGCTGGCACATTTGGATGCTCACAATTTAGTTTTATTCAATGTTAGCTGTGCAATCCAAATGATGCAGAGAGCTTAACTTACCTATGGTGGGATCATGATCTTCTGGAAACCGATGACTAATAAACTGCATTGTCATTGCTGGGGAGATATAAAGGGAAAGAAATAATGAATCAGGATTTCTCATAAAAATGAACTTTCATCTGCTATTGTCAGTTACTAAAATAGAAACATAGAGACTAAATATATATATGATATAAACATAGAGACTAAAAGTTGAGGCCATGGATATAAAGGGTTGCATGGAGCTATAAGGTTATTTTTTGTAAACTCTAGGCCTCCTACAGTGTCCCCCCAGGGCTGAGAAAGTCGGTATATAAATACTGTAAATAAATAAATAAACAATGTTCAAGAACAAAAGGGGAATATCAGCTTCCTCATCTGCTAAGTGAAGGTTAAAAAGCATCTCTTCTTTATCAAATAATTAAGGGTTTGTAAGTACTCCATGGGCATAAATGTGGTGAAAGTACCCCATACCACCTGATGTGTCTTTGGGGTTATTTTGGACCATGATTTTAGATTCTCCCCCACAAATAATGGGGGCCTTAGAGAACATGGTATCAGTGCTAGACATCCATGCAGTGAATGACTATTTTTAAAAAATCATGTTGTAGCATCATTCCTTATAAACTGCCAGAAGGGACAGAGAGTTTCATCTATGCTGATGATCGTGCCATTACCGCTCAAGCAAGGAGCTTTGAGATGGTAGAACAGAAGCTCTCCAAAGCTCTAGGTGCTCTTACTGCCCATTACAGGCAAAACCAGCTGATTTCCAATCCATCTAAGACACAGACATATGCCTTTCACCTTAAGAACAGACAAGCATCCTGAGCTTTGAGGATTACCTGGAAAGGAATCCCACTGGAGCATTGCAGCACACCCAAATACCTGGGAGTCACCCTGGACCATGAGCCCCCAGTGGCACAGTGGGTTAAACCCCTGTGCCAACAGGACTGAAGAACAGGGGAGAGGCGGATGAGCTCCCTCTATCAGCTCCAGCTGTTCATGCAGGGACATGAGAGAAGCCTCCCACAAGGATGATAAAAACATAAAATCATCCAGGTGTCCCCTGGGCAATGTCCTTGCAGACGGCCAATTCTCTCACACTAGAAGTGACTTGCAGTTCCTCAAGTCACTCCTGACACACACAAAAACAAAACAAAATCTGGACCGTGCTCTTACCTACAAGAAGCACTGCCTGAACATCAAGCAAAAAGTGGGTGCTAGAAACAATATCATACGAAAGCTGACTGGCACAACCTGGGGATCACAACCAGATACAGTGAAGACATCTGCCCTTGCGCTTTGCTACTCTGCTGCTGAGTATGCATGCCCAGTGTGGAACACATCACACAATGCTAAAACAATAGATATGTCTCTTAATGAGACATGACATTATCACAGGGTGTCTGTGCCCTACACCACTGGAGAAATTACACTGTTTAGCCAGTATTGCACCACCTGACATCCGGCGGGAAGTAGCAGCCAATAGTGAAAGGACCAAGGCAGAGACATCTCCAGCTCATCCCTTGTTGGGTATCAGCCAACACATCAATGACTTAAATCAAGAAATAGTTTTCTAAGATCTACAGAGACACTCACTGGAATACCTCAGCAAGTAAGAGTCCAAAAGTGGCAGGCTCAAACCCAGAACCTCAATCCATGGGTGATACCAAATGAGAGACTCCCCCCTGGGCACACAGAAAACTGGGCGACTTGGAAGGCGCTGAACAGACTGCGCTCTGGCACCACGAGATGCAGAGCCAACCTTAAGAAATGGGGCTACAAAGTGGAATCCACGACATGCGAGTGTGGAGAAGAGCAAACCACTGACCACCTGCTGCAATGCAACCTGAGCCCTGCCACATGCACAATGGAGGACCTCCTTGCGGCAGCACCAGAGGCACTCCAAGTGGCCAGATACTGGTCAAAGGACATTTAATCAACTACCAAGCTTGCAAATTCTGTGTTTTGTCTGTTTGTTTTGTTCTGTTAGAAATGTAATACAATGGTCTGGTTGCCCCTGACATGATAAATAAATACATTCCTTATAAAGGATTTGGGATATTGCTAGAAATAAGTGTTGTGGATGATACGAAGGCTTGATTACTCATTTCACTATCAGGTCTCAAACATATTCAATGGCTTTAACCTGTCAGTCTCAACATATATTATTCTCAAGCATCTTCATTGGAGACCATCCATGAGAAGTACACCCAACTCTTCATTGAATATCATTGAATATCATGAATGGTCAGGCTAGCATTTCTCATTTCAGATTCAATTAGGAGTAAATGCCACTTCAAAGGCAGGCTTTATTTTTCCAGATCATACCTACCGAGCAGGAAGAGTTAATCAGCGGATCGAAAAGGTTACGGATGATCAAGATTAAACATTTATTGCCATGTTAATAAATGATTGCACCTGCGGCGTGGGCAAATATAAATGTTAAGGCATCTCATTATAAATTCATGGCAGACCTGCAAGGATAACTGTTTAAAGAACCTCATTTACAATACAGGCATCATCACAGATGAGCAAAAGTCTACCTGGCCCCTTGTTCGTGCTTTCCTTCTTATGTACCCTCGGTTTCATTTTCGAATATTAAGTCTCTTTCTTGAAACTCTTTCCATGCCGTCACCTCTTTTATCCAATGTTTACTCTAAATTTAAAAGAGCTCTCTGTCTCAGAATTGTAAAAGTTGCTCCTTAGACTGCAAATCTTAAAATTCCATATAGGATGTTGCCATGGAAATCCCAATAAGAATTGTAATGTTGTGACTCTTTAGCGTGAAAGGATGGCAAAAAGTCTGATTTGTCTTCACACTGGCTACTTTATGCACTTAAAAAACATTCATCATGCTTTGACCCCCTAAAACCTGAGGCAGAAAACAAATATGAGTAAAGCAATTATGTTAACTCCACAGGGCTCGATGCTATGGAGTCATGCGAGCTGTAGTTGCACAAGATATTTAGCCTTCTCTGCCCCCTCTCCAATCCTTAATTCTGAATGCTGAACTGGGGTTTCAAACTTCTGCAATGTAGAATGGAGAAGAAGAATGAAGGAAAATGTTATAAGGAAAGGGATAACATCTTCATAGCTACACATCTGGGCTTCCTTTGAAAAGGGTTCAGAAACTACAACTAAAGCAAAATGTGATGTGTGATTTAGTGATCCATCTGGGAGGCAGGCAGCATACAAATGCAGTAAAGTAAATGAATACCAACTGCACCACTGAAGACCGATAGGTCGCAGGTTCGAATCCGGGGAGAGGCGGATGAGCTCCCTCTATCAGCTCCAGCTCCTCATGTGGGGACATGAGAGAAGCCTCCCACAAGGATGATAAAAACATCAAAATCATCTGGGCGTCCCCTGGGCAACGTCCTTGCAGACAGCCAATTCTCTCACAACAGGACACTCCTGACACAACAAATAAAACCCCACTTTTTGGTTTACTCCTGACTGAAACTCAAGTTACTCGGATTGACTTGCAATGCCTTAATGACTTTGGCCTGGGGGGGGATGCAGTTTGACTCCACTTTAACTGTCATGGCTCAATGCTCTAGGATCCTGGGAGCTGTAGTTTGGAGAGTGTGAAGTTTTAGCTCTGCCTTTTCTTCTCCTCTGCTTCAGTTTCCCCTGTTCATAGATTTTCCCAATAGTGTAGACTTTCCTTTGTATTAGTTTCTGGGTGGAGCTTAAACACCCCTCAGATGGTACCAGCTGTAAACCATCCCAAGTCACCTGTGGGCTGAGAGAGATGGTATATAAATATAGTAAATAAATAAATGCCAGTTTCACAGAGCTCTTTCCTGGACTCCGTCTTCTTTCTAGTAGAGCCTTAGAGGCCTCGATATTGTCTGGAATCCTAGCCTAGCAATCCAAACAGGCATTCTTAGCACCTTCTTCTGCTGCTGCATTTAGCAGTATTTTTATACCAGCAGTCCAAAGGACAACAGAAGCGCGGAGTGTGGTGGAGGCTCCTTCTTTGGAAGCTTTTAAACAGAGGCTGGATGGCCATCTGCCAGGGGTGATTTGAATGCAATATTCCTGCTTCTTGGCAGGGGGTTGGACTGGATGGCCCATGAGGTCTCTTCCAACTCTTTGATTCTATGATTCTATGATTTTGGCCAGCCTAAGCTTCACAGGAAAGAACATTAAGGCAGTTTATATCCATTGCTTTGCACCAGAGCCAAAAGAGACTTTCAAAGATCCCAGAAAGATGTCTGCAACCAGCAAGTTCTTCTTTTGTAATGTAGAGTTTTAAGTTATCCTATGATACTCCCGGGTAGAGTTAACCCTTTATTCATTTTGTTTCAGTAAACTCATTTGGTTATCTTTTCACCTTGCCTCAAAGTACCTCTGTCTGCTAAGGGTCTTAATCGTAACAGAAGGTATCAGATAGCCCCTGAGTAAAGCCAGATACTATAGTTTCCCCAGAGGCTTGAGCCATTCTGAAAGATGTAGTCTGCTGAGGCAAGCAAATTTTGGCAGAGAGGGCTTTGTCAAACTACAACTCTCATGACCTAGAGCCTTCAGCCATACAAGTGGTGTCAAAATGCATTCACTCTACAGTGTAGATGCATCAGAGATCTGAAAAGTCCACAACCTTCTCTATAAACCTGGTCTAGATTTGGAATTTGAAATCTGCTACTGGAAGGCATTTGTTTGGTCTTTGTCTGGCCTTTGTGCTTTCAATAGTATTGAGTCCGTGTTTGTGTTTTAAAACTAGGATTTAAATCTGGTTTTCAAAACTTTTTTTAACTTGTTTGTATCAGTTCTGCGTCATCCAAGAAACCCTGGTGGGCTAAGAGGTATCCAGCAATGAATTTCAATAAATATCAGGAAAGCAAGCATTTGATAGCTGCATTATTTCCCCTCTGTTTCTAATCCCAGTCCTTTGTCTGTTTTTTCCCCTTATACAGATGGTGAGATCAAAATAACCTTTTCTTGTAAAGATAGGGAGATCAATTCAGCTGCAGCTAAGTTTCACAGTGTGATTCTGACTGAGACATGTAAGCTTTGAAGGTACAAAGAATTCAGGATGCCATTAAGATGTTCAGAGCAGTGTCTCCACAAAA